GACACTCTTGTGGGACACTCCTGTGGGACACTCCTGTGGGACACTCATTTGGGACACTCTTGTGGGACACTCTTGCAGGACACTCTTGTGGGACACTCTTGTGGGACACTCTTGTGGGACACTCTTGTGGGACACTCTTGTAGGAGACTCTTGTGGGACACTCTTGTGGGACACTCACGTAGGAATCTCTTGTGGGATACTCTTGTAGGAGACTCTTGTGGGACACTCTTGTAGGACGCTCTTGTGGGACACTCCTGTAGGGCACACTCTTCGTACGAGACTTCCTCCAAAAGTCACGCTGCGAGGCTGCAAGACGAGCGTTTCGTACGAGACTTCCTCCAAAAGTCACGCGTCAAGTCTCAAAAACGAGCGTTTCTTACGAGACTTCCTCCAAAAGTCACACGTCAAGTCTCCAAAACGAGCATTTCGTACGAGACTTCCTCCAAAAGTCACATGTCAAGTCCCCAAAACGAGCGTTTCGTACGAGACTTCCTCAAAAACTCACATGTCAAAGTCTGCAAAACGAACGTTTCGCACGAGACTTCCTCCAAAAGTCCAGCGGAAACACCCATCGGAGCACACACATCACGCAGCCCTGCCAAGCAGTTTCGCGAGTCCAGCCCCTCCAAACGACACCCGCTCACACGCCAATCCCAATGCGACAGCGACATTCACCTCTACCACAACTCACAACCTCCCGATTCCCTGCGCCTGCCACGAATCTTTCCGCGTCCACACGTCTAACGCGCACAAAGTACTGTGCCTGCCACGAAATGTCACCTCCGTCACACATCGCAACCTCACGGTTCCTTGCGCCTGCCACGAAAATCCCACTTCCACACCTCAAAACCCGCACAAAGTCCTGCGCCTGCCACGAAAAGTAACAATGTCATCTCATGTGAGCTTCAACAAAATTTGCACCACACCACACATGTTTGGAATGATTTCGACCCGTTCTGAGCACACTCCCAGGGTCCAAAATAGGCATTTCAGCTGAGACTTGTCACGAAAACAGAGCTTCGATGCCACACCCTGAAACGCAAATCCCAATGGCACGGCCACATCCAACACCCCAAAAACACGACTCTCCAAACGCTAATCCCAATGGAACTGCGTAGCAAACTGCGGATCTCACAAAACGCTGCGCCTGTGCAGTGAAATGCATCACGCTTCTTGCGCGACATGTCCTTTTCACGCAAATCACAATGGACTCGCGTCGCAAACTAACACGTGACACATCCATGCATAGTCACTTGCAAAAGCTTCCCCCCAATGGCAGCGCCTTAGCGACCTACTGCGAACGGTTGCGGACGGTTGCGAACATAGAAGCAACGGATCGCGAACAAGACTCTACCCCCAGACCCCCAGAGTTAAACGAGAACCCTTCGCTACGCATTCGGGAAAACAGTTGGAGTATGGCATTCGATGTGTCCATCCGAGCCCGCACCTTTTGCCCTCGCGAACAGTTCTATCCATTGCAAGCTCTCCAGACTCGATGTCAACGAGCCCAAAGCCCGCAAAACAAGTGGTATCATCTGGTAACCATGATTCCCACGTGGCTTTGTTGCTCTGGAGCCATCGGCAGGTGACATCGTCCCAGGAATCTCCTGATCGAGAAGGCGAACGCTGAACTTCAGGAACCCAAAAAAAGACGAGTCAGATTAGGACTCCGCAAGCATCAAATCAAAAAGCAAACAACACAACCGTGCTCCACTAAGAATTCCTGTGTTCTTCTGGTCCATCAGGATTGCTTGGATCATGGTCGCGCTGATTTCCATGTTCACCAGAAAATTCTCCACTCTGGGAGAGAGTGACGACAAGTCTTTGCTGACGCCTTTGGAGAGTTTGATTGTCCTCTGAGCTGTTTTGAAATCTCCATTGGCATGGCCAATACTGTCATGCGGTGGGAAAATCACCTCAACTGGTGCCATCTCCAGGAAAGTTGCATCTGGCTCCCACCAATAGAAAAGGCTCTGGTGTGCCACTGGCATTGCAACAAAATCCGCCCATGTGTTGGCAATTGCCACAGCAATCGGCATGTTCCAAGCAGTTGCTTGGTGCATGACCAGCTCAAGGTTCCAACCAGCACCGCTGGTAAAGAACATCACGCACTTGAAGGTCTCGTTACGACAACTTGGCGCCCTCCAAAAGTACTCATCAGGACATGAACCCACAACCTGGGCCAAAGGCGGCCAAGTTGCCAAGATGAGTCGGTTTGGCTTCATGTTCAAGACTTGCGGCTTCATATTGTCTCCTACATGACTACGTCAAATCGACATATCTTGAAAAACTATTCCTTTCATCCTGTTCGGCTCCTGTTACAGCCAAACAATCTGAAACCTACAATGTTGCTACCTGCATTTTGGCATGCTAGACAATCTTGGCCGTTTACGCAACCAAAAAACATGCTTTCATGGCCGTCACCTGAAGGAAAGGATCAAGAACTGAACAAGCCTGTCGAGAACATCACCCAGAAACATCTCTTGCATCTGGCGCTCCACCTTTGATGTTCATAAAATATGATCAAAAATGTGGTCAACGCAGTCCGTGGAGCTCGGGAGAAGCTTGAACATATTCGCAACCCTTCGCACCCCCCTCAAAGCATGTTTGCTGCGCTGCTGCGCCCTATCTTCGTATCTATCTTGGCTTGAGCCCCGGCACTGCACCATCAATCATCTGTACTCCATCACTATCACCCGTTTGCGCCAGGTAGTTCCGCATCGGGCCGTCCGAGAAGAGTGTTGTCTCGCTGCACTTCTTGAGGAACCTGGTCGCATTGACCTTGGCGGCGGTGAGGAAAGTAGAAACGCTGCAGAATATGCAGTATGTACACCGAGACCCACCCATACTACCTAGTTTGTGCAGCAATTTAGCTCATTCACCTCGAGTCTAACTTGCATTCTTACTGAACACTGGTTTCTCGCAGAACTGTCTTTCTGCGTATTCGGGCCCTTCTTCATCTCGTTCTATCACGCTCCATAGCCACCATTTGCAACACAGTTCCCCCATCACACTTTGATTCATTGTCTTGCAACCGCAAAAAAAATATATCACAACTACTTTTCCATGGATGCGGTCATGCTTGACACCAAATTTACCCTCTCGGTAGCTGCATTCGTAGCCAAGTCAACTCAAGAATTCTGTAAAGCAAAAACGCCAGGTACCGAGGAGGTGTTGTCAAAATAGAGCCATGGCTTCCACCACTTGGCATTGTATGAGGTGTAGAACTCCAACGGCAACCCTTCAGATTCGGCCACAGACTCTTGCCTGGCAGGAAAGTACCAACGCGGACTTGTTGATGCTTGAATCAGCAAAGCAAACTGAATACGGTGCAAAAGCACCAAAAGGGCAAACGAAAAAGGTTGAAATAGAGGAGCGCAAGCGAAAAAAAACACAAAACAAAGCAGAGCAAGCGACCCGTGAAACCAATCAACAGAAAAAAAGCAGGAACAAAAGCAGCAAAGGCTCATTTTGACACCGACATTGCAAAAACACAAAGCAACAGAAGCAACAAACCGTCAACAAAAAGAAAAACATACCCAAAACTATTGCACGAGAAAACTGTCCTTTTCAGAGCCAAATTGCAGGCTTTTCCGCATGTACATGGAGTTTTTTCCACCGTAGCCCATGGACGTCAACGCCTTGGGCGCCATGGCCTTGTTCTTCTGCAGCTCGGCCCAAAGCCAATCCTCATCTTCCCACATTTCCATGAAGATGTGATTGTAGGTCACCTCGAAGCAAACTAAAACAGGCCGCGAAAGAAAAAAATGACTCCCAATCCGAAATGTCGATGCTTCAAGAGTTGTTGCAGTTGATGTTTGGAGCTGCTCAGGATTCGGATCGAGCCCGGTGGCCCTGCTGTGATAGTGGCCTGATGACTTTGGTTGTTTCGTAGTGGTGTTTCCTACCAGCAACTGAAGGATTTGAGGAGTAGAAGAGGGAACAAATGGGAGAGAAGAGAAGGTTGATATCCTGGTAGTGTTGGTTCTACGTGACAGGGCCTATCAGGTGGAACATACCCGACCCCGCAAGAAGGACCCAAAGTAAAGGAGGCGCAATGTCTCTATAGAAAAGTAAATGACGTTTGCCTTGGGCACTGCAAACCAGAGTGCCTCGTTGCTTGCAGCCTTGTATCTGGGCGCGTATTGAAAATGTGAAAAGTTGCAGCATCGGTGTCTTGAAGGGTCGTTCATCGAAATTCTTACCCCATCGCTTCTAGGTTGGAGGCCATCGCTTCTAGGTTGGAGGCCATCGCTATTAGGATGGAGGCCATCGCTAGACCCTTGGTTGTAGCGAGAAAACACCGGCGTTTGGGCGCCATGTTTCAGGAGTTTTGGGCCACAGTTCCCCTTGGTGGAGCCTTTGGGTAGCGGCAGGAGGTTAATTTTAGCCTTTATCCAAATGGCAGGGCAGAAGGCAGAGGCGATGAAGAGCATGATGATGGGCCTCAGAAGATTTTAGAAGAGTAGTTGGGGCACTATATAGTACTTTTGATTGTTGTGGCAATCACTTTGGGGATTCCAGGACTACCAAACCAGGAGCATCACCAGGAGCAGGCCGGGGCAGCTTAGGTGAGCGCACTCTGGGCGAAGGTATGGAGTGTATCTCCTGCCTCGCTGTTGCAGGGCTCTTGGGGCGGGAATTGTGTTGCGCACAAATATGCCCATTTTGCAAATACCATCAAGTTCGACCCAAGCTACCCAAGCAATGGTTCTTCGGATGAGTTCTTGGCAATTGGCCGCTCGCAACTAGCCCCCCGCCTCCCATGACCTGCCCAACTAACCGCATTGACCACTCGTC